TGCTTGACCGTTTCCGCGGTTTACATGGAATGTGAATTGCCATAACAACTCTCAGGATAAAAATAAAATTAATTACAAAATCGAAAACGACGTGGCAAAGCGTGTGTTACCCTCCGGCATTAAAATATCAATCAACTCAGAGATGCATCAGTTTTTTTTTTTTTTTTTTGCGGTGGCGAGATGCAGCAGCTAGCCAGCACCAGTTGCACGTACACTCACATGCAAAGAAGCAAGAACGTCCATAGATGTCTCCTGAACATCCATAGACACTGACGGCTTAAGATGGCAACGGATGAAACTCGTTTGGTTTTGCTTGGCCATACCCGTTCTCACGAGAAAACCGTAAACCCGTCTCCGTCTCCGTCCTCGTCCTCGTGCACGAGGTCAGTTTTTTGCCCGTCCCTTAAGCCTGCCAGGTTTTCTGAACACGAGGAGAACCTGTCCCTGTGAGTAGTTAGCGCAAACAACAACTTCTCAAGGGAAAACATGAGCATATTGCAGCAATAGTAACAACAACTTGCTTCAAAAAAAACAGTAACAACAACTTTTCAAAGAAAAGCAAGTTTAGATGATGTGCCGTGTGCGGGAGCGACTCGAGGAGAGTGATAGGGGTCGGGCTAGTGTTTGCTAGGGCGCTGGAGCTGGGCATCCGGGCCGGTCGTGTAATCGAGGTGAGCGCTGGGCTTGATTAGTGCAGTGGATGGGTGGAAGTCGGTGGATCAGTGGATGCTAGGTATTTTGACGGGTATTACGGGTTTCAGGTTCGGGCACTGCTAAAAGGGGTTCAAACATCTAGAACATGTCGGGTTTTATATTTTATCTAAGAACAGCCCCGCGGGTTAGGAAGACGTCCATCCATGTCTTCTAATAAAACAAAAAATCATAGAGACATGGTTTTCGGGGCCCATAGCATGTTTGCAGTTGGTGGCGGTAGCCGATGGGAAACTCTTTTCTTCAGGTGAAGATGAGAATCAGCAGCGGCTTCGTCGAATCATCCTAGCTATCTGACCGCGAGCGCGCACACACATGGGCACGGAGACACATTATCTTCACCCGCTGACCGTCAGTCGTCGCCCTCACTCCTTTTCTGCCTTTGAAACGATCGCGACGACTTGACGGGAGAGCCGGAGAGGGGGCGTCTACGGAGGGCGCACCGTCCATGGGAAACTGGTGTAAAATGTGTATGTTTAGCTTTTGATCGATACTCACGGTATGAGTCGTAAATGTTGAGAATTCTTCGGGGGAATCCACGTCCCAACACCTGGGGGAATCGTGTCCGGCCGGTGGGCGGGGCTATAGCTCTATTGTCCGGCGATCAGATGACTAGCTATGTGTTTGTAGCTACACCGTTATAGGAGGTTTTGTTTTCAACTTATTTGATGCTTGATCTTTTCATAAAGCATCTACAATCAGGATGGACAAATTTCACCCTCGAAACGCCCGCTTGCACGCCCAGGCGTGTTCAGTGGTACTTCCCGCACAATTGCCATTTTCTTCAGCCCACAATTACAAACCCCAAATCTTCTATCACTATTTCATACAAAAGCATGCAAACAACGTCGATCAAACAAATTAGCATAAAAGGCTTAGCATTTGCAATGGCGGACATCCACGTAGTTCTTACAAAATGACCCAAGCAGTTCACATTTTAACTAAATAGACTAAAATATAACGGAAATGCTAATGCCCACACGTGTGGTCGTTTGCATCTCGCCCACACGCATGGATCCACGTCCGTTTGTGGTTGCACGAATCTTGACATGTTTATGGTGCCACGTAGGACTGGACTGATGTGTGGGCATTCATCCGGTCGCCCGCACGTCCGTTTTCACCATACGGAGGGACCGGTGTGTGGGCGTTTAGTAATTCGCCTACACATTAGTTTTCACTCACTCACAGGGGTTGGTGTGTGGGCATTTTTCAGTTCGCCCACACTCCCGTCTCCTCTCCCACACCCAAAGCTGACAGTTGCCATGTGTTTTGCAGGGTACATGGCAACTGCCATAGTGTGCTTGTAAGCAGATGACAACTCTCTCTTTTACCCGAACATGTCAGTTGCCATGTGTTTTGCAGGGTACATGGCAACTGCCCCAGTGTGCTTGTAAGCAGATGACAACTCTCTCTTTACCCAAACATGTTATTTTGCCATGTCTCTTTGTAGGGCTACACGACAACTGCCTAGTGTTAGTAGGTGGCAACTCCTAAAGTTTTCAAATCATGACAACTGTAGTAAATCAGACCATACATGGCAACTGTAGTAAATCAGACCATACATGGCAACTGTCTAGTGTTAGTAGGTGGCAACCCGTAAAGTTTTCAAATCATGGCAACTATAGTAAACCAGACCATACATGGCAATAGTTGTAGTTGTCCAAAAATGACATCTGGCACTTGACCTGAGATGGCAACTGCGTTTGAGCAACCATGGCAACTGCAGTTAAACGAACATGGAAGAGGATCCGGACCATGGCAACTGCGGGGCGCGTGGTGACTGTCACGCAGGGCGTGCGGGACCATGAGGTAGGAGGCTTGACGTACGGGCATGTGGGCGTTATCTATTTTGCCCACACGTAGGCATGTAAGAGAGACCGCGAGGAAAAAAGAGGCGTGTGGGCATTACTTATTTTGCCCACACGTAGACATGTGAGCTGATCCTCTTAGACACCACACAAAATGTGTGGGCAGACCCCTTATATGCCCACATGTGTGGGCGTTATCGGCGTCCAAATATAAACATAGAGCGGCTGGAGTTCACCACTCCCTCGCCGGCCGCTTCCCCTTGCGGTCTCAACAGCTGTTCGCGCCATAAGCATCCGCTATGGGCGGCGATTCGTCGTCTGTCGTCCCGCAATCGGAGTTAGAGGAGGACGGAGCCCAGCTCAGGAAGTCCTTCAAGCGATGGGCGGCACGTCTCTGCTACGCCGCGAGCCGACAACTCTCTCCTTTGCCACCTCCTTGTGCCTACTCACCTTGGCGGACTCTTCGAGCGCATGATAGTGCTGCCACGTTCTCGCGACAAGAGCGGCAGGCGGTGGTCTCCGCGGAGGTGAACGAGCAGCGTATTGCGATGCGGAGTGCAGCTTCATCGTCTTCGGCGGGCGGCAATGGCTTGGGCGCAAATTTAGAGGACCCGCAGCCACTGTGCCTAGCTCCGCCCTGCGTCGTCGCCTTCATCGCCTGGCTATAGGCGCGGCCTATCGTCTAGGCTGCAACGTTGACGGGCTTGGGGGTGCGGGCACCAACACCTAGCGGCTCTCCCAACCGGGGCTGGTGTTGGAGATCCAGGGCGGATCTTCTAATGCTGCCACCTCACCGTGCACGACAGAGAGCGCACAGGGCGGCGCCAGGCTGTTGCGGAGGAGGAGCTCCCGCGCACGTCCATCCGCGAGTGCCGGAGCGCAATGCGGAGCGTGAGCTCCTCCGAGTCCGGCTCAAATGAGTTTGACGGGTCAAAGGAGGCGAGTCCCACCCAACTGATCCCGTTGGAGCCGGAATCGGAGCCAGCCATGGCGAAGAGGACGGTGAAGATGAAACGTGAGAGGGCGGAAGGGAGCAAAGAGGCGAGAGGGGTGAGGAAGCGGAGTGAGGTTTGAGCTAGGGTTTTGTCCATATCCGCTTTTTGTGGGGATGGTGGTGGGGCCAGATGGGCCAGGCTAGCCGGAACTGATATGGCGGGTATGTTTGGATGCGTTCGGGCCTCCTCATATCCATCCCAAACATGGGCTGGATATGAAGATTTCTGGACTGACCGGACAGGCCCGGTCAAAATAAAAGGACAGGTCGAGTGCCTTTTTTTTTCTTTCTATTTTCTGTCCGGGCAGTGATTGGAATAGTCCATTTCGAACAATCGTGTTGTAGATGCTCTTATTCGTTTGCATTCTTTTTATTCCGCAGTGTTTGCCTGCGTGCAAAAGAATGGCCGTCTGTGGCGCCCCCTTTGCCTCTAGGTGGCCTGTGGGCCTTTATTCATCCGCAGATTTTAGGGCGTTGGACGATGATGTGTTTTGGCTGTAAAACTTGGTTTCTCGAATAAATCTTCACCGGTGACATATTCCTTTTCTTAAACAAAGATGACTCAGCTAAATAAATCTTCACCGGTGACATATTCCTTTTTTTAAAATAAAAAAAGATAACTCAGCTAAATGAATCTTCACCGGTGACAAGCTATATGGAGTAAAATCCGCCATCCATCGAAACAAAATATCCAGTAACATTTACGAGGAAAACCCTATAAATTTGATCATGGTTAAACAAGGGACCCAAATATCCAACGAAAGTCAGATTTTTAGGCATGCCAAATCGACTTTTTTTCATGGCAAATTATGTTTGTCGAGGGTGGCAAGTTTAGCTGGCGAGCATGGCAAATCCGCCTGAGTTCATTTCTTTGCTAGGAAATTGCCTTGCTTGCCAACTATATTTCCCATCCCTCTACCAACATAAATTGCCACGATCTTTTTTCGATTTACCATGCCTAAAACATCACGTCAGATTTTTAGCATTTCCGTAAATAAGAGGTGCTTCATCCGGACCAGTGGAGTTTGATGGTAACATGACGATTATTTATTTTTACAGTTTCAAGCAAAAACAAGATGAAATGTTTCGAACTATCTTGAAACAGCACTTGTAAAGAGGTTCTCCACATCTAAAAAGGAACTGAAATTTAAAAATTCTCAGAGTCGAGATGAGTGTCGGACCAAAACAAGAATGAACGGTGGAGATCTCACAAACTCCACTTAGATGGAAGATCATGTTCATATCCCAGCATGACTTCAGACATGGGATTTATATTAGGCCCCTTTATATTACCATCCCTACTTCCACACTCTTATGGTCAAACTGAAGTTCACAAAAAAGAGAGAGAACAGAAAAACTAGTACACGGTGCACTAGTACTACCTAGACATGTATATACTGTATGTATCCATGGCTACATAGAAGATGTTTCCATCAAATATATAACCTCTCCTCGAGCCTGGACTGACCGGCCACGACGGAGCTCAACTAGCTCATCATCTTCTGCTCGTTCTTGAAGCGCTCTCGAACGGACAGTATGAAGGCCGCGGCCCTCTCGTCGACGTCACCGGCGGCGGCATAGGGGGCGCTCGCCCTCGCGTCGATGGAAGAAGGATACCTGGGCTGGTAGGCGTGAGCCGTAGTGACGCTCGGCGCAGGCTTGGCCTGCCCTTTGCCGGCGTACTTGGAGTACACCATAGCCACTTTCCCTTTGATCCCCCTGGCGCCGCTCTTCATGGTTCCCTCCATTGCACTGTGTTTGATTCTGCCTAAGTTTTGTTGCTGTGCACTTGTGTTGTGTGCGCGGTGCGCCTTGCTTTGTGATGCTGGAATGTGAAATGCCGAAGAGGTAGCTACCCTCTTTTATACTCGAATGACCAAGTGGTAGCTACTAGCTAGGAAGGCCATAGACATTCCATGTCACATCCTGGCATTTACTAGTAGATGCCAGTGGATAATGAACATGCGTGCACCCAACGAAATGTAGCTCTGGCAAAGTGAATCTGGGAGGTGTCACTGATAGGAGATTCGATTCCCATGCTTTCGGAGGGTCCAGTGGTAAGTGACACGAAGAGATGTAGTGAATCTTGTTTGTGGTCTGCATGATTGTATCTAGTGGGCCATGATAATATACGGTTGGTCCTGTGATAAAAATCCATGTATGCTCACATGCTTGCCAAGGTTCTTTGCCTCTCTCTCGCCCTTTCCAGATCAGAAAAAAAAAAGATCATCCCTTGGGATATCCAAATGTATTATCCTCGGCAGATTCCTAATTCCTCCCTATCCCTTTGGGCGGGAACGGACAAGATGACCGGAGCCAAGTGCAAGGTTAATTGGGCAACCATATGTCGGCCAAAGCATTTTGGAAATTTGGTGTACTCAACCTCGATAGGTTTGCTCGGGCATTGCGGTTACGTTGGCTTTGGTATGAGTGGAAGGTTTCGGCAAAGATTTGGGTGAGTTTGGGGAACCCCTGTGACATGGTGGACCTGGACCTCTTCTATGCCTTACCATCGTATCTATTAGCAATGGTGCCATTGCCCCTTTTTGGGATTCCCCTTGGCTCAATGGCAAGAAACCGAAGGACATTACCCCGCCCATATACTTTTCCTCCTCGCAAACAATTGGAAAGTTAAGGAGGCCTTGACGGATGACGCTTGGATTCACAAGATTAAGCTCAATATGATCCTCACCATGGAGCACCTTAGGCACTTTGTCATGTTGTGGGAGCACATTCGCCAGACCCACCTTCATGTGGATGCCACGAACGAGATGGTTTGGAAGCACTCGGCGAATGGGCATTATTCGCCGGCCTCGGCTTACAACGCGCAATTCATTGAATCTACTGGTACCACCTTCCGCTGCTACATCTGGGCGTTTGGGCTCCACCAAAGTTGATTTTTTTGCATGGCTTGCAACCCGTAATAGGATTTGGACGGCCGATAGGCCGGCTAAGAGGGGTTTGAAAGAACATTTGCTCCCTTGGTGGTTTTGGTAATTAATGACAACATACATATTGTTGGACTAATAGTTTTACCTAGAATATTTCAGATAAGTTCAACAGCGACATGGCAAGGACATGAGGATGTGGACCCCTTCAAAATGCAAGGACATGGATTGGCAAAAGCTCAAGACTCTACATTTTTGGTTTAGTGATCCAAGATCACATTGAGTCCCTTAGGTAAGCCAATACTATTAAAAGGGGATGAGGTTGTTGCTCAAGTGCTTAATGATGTTGCTCTAAAAAACCCTCAATCACTTTCCCAAATCTATACAAACCCTAATTCATCATTTCGGTCCCACCGATATCTCTTACTCTAGACCCACCGAGATGATCCTTCTATTGCCACAACCAAAACCCTAACAAGTGGTCCCCCCCCCCCCCGCGTCGTCTCTGAGGCGACTCGGGCGGGCAACCCACCGCGCCTCCACAGCCCCCTTCTCCAACCACCGCCCCTCGCCGTCGCCGGCAAAACAAAGTCGGGCAAAGCTCGGCGAAGGCTGGCGGCGGCGGGATCCGTTCCGCGCGCGCGTTTTCTCGTCCTGCTGTCCCCTCTCCTCATCTGCATCGGGGGCGGCCAGATCTGGTCCCTGCGTCCTCTGGCCCGCTTCCCCGGTGTTGGCCGGCGCCTCCTTCCTGTTCCAGGCGGCGCGTCGTGGCTGCGGGCTTCCGGCGCCCTCAGAGTGGCTCCGTGGCTGGCCTTGTGGCTGCTTCGGCCGCGTCTCCTCCCGCCATGACCTACTGGCTAGAAAGATCCAAAACTGCCGCGTCTTCCGCATCCGCCGCCGCCTGTTCTACCGTTGCTGTGCTCCTCCGCGCTTGCCAAAACGAGGGTGGTGTCGTGGCTCCTGCGCTTGGGAGCCCTCCACCTCCCAGATCCCCCGGGTGGGTGTCGCTGTCTAGTGGCTTTTCCCACTGGGGCTCCGCACCAGTGGTCCTCGCTGGTTGCTCGGCGTCAAGGGTGCCTGCCGGCGTCGCTGCTGGTTGGATTCACCTGGATCTGGGGCCGTCCAATCCCAGCGCTGCCCGGCGCTATTGGCGGCTGCTCTGCCTCTCTTCGGGGGGAGGATGTGACCGGGGGTTTGGGAGAAATCCATGGTCAGCCAGCTGCTGCTGGCCAGGACAGCGGCGACGCTTCCCGCCGTTTCCATCTTGATGGCGCTGTCTTCATCCCCCGGTCTTGTGATGTTTAGAGTGTGCTTTGTGGAGTTCTATGCTTGGTGTTGCCCTTCGACTACGCCGGTGGCACACAGGCGCCGTGGCATCGTCTCGGCCCGCGTGACCGTTTGAATGTACCCCATGACATAGGTGGTGTCGCGGCGTTGTGCAGTCTTGGTTGCCCAGTGCTTTTCGATTGCGTCGACGGTGCAGTGTCATGGCTTAGTCTCGGCTCGCCGCTGCAGTTCGAGCGCTCGAGGTGCCCCCCTGTTGTGATGTTTTGGTGTGCTTTGTGGAGTTCTATGCTTGGTGATGCCCTTCGGCTACACCGGTGGCACACAGGTGCTGTGGCGTCGTCTTGGCCCGGCGTAACCGTTCGAATGTACCCCACGACACAGGTGGTGTCGCGGCGTTGTGCAGTCTTGGTTGCCCCGGTGCTTTCCGATTGCGTCGATGGTGCAGTGTCATGGTTTAGTCTCGGCTCACCGCTGCAGTTCGAGCGTCGGTGGTGCCCCTTGCTGTGTTGTGTCCCCCCTCGCCATGTGTTGTTGCTGTGTTGTTTTGCTTTATTTCTCCTCTATGTGCCCCTGTACTTCTGGTTCACTTGAGCCCTATCTTGTATTAGGCTGCAAAGCCTATAGGCAACAAATGAATACAATTCAGGTGGAGAGGATTTCTTCTCCCCCCCGGTGACATTCAAAAAAAACCCTAACAATTGGTCTGACCGAAATGGTACTCGGTCCCACCGAGACGGCCTTGCCAGGCTTCTGTAATGAAGTCACTTCATTTCGGAATTACCGAGATGAATTGATCGGAATTACCAAGACGGGGCTTTGCCCTAGCTATTGCACTTCGGTCCCACCAAGTTGGTATAATCGGTCTCACCGAAAAGCCTAACGGTCAAGTCTTTTGCACTTGTCGGTCTCACCGAGATTATCATATCGGTGCCACCGAGTTGGGTCAAAAGCTTGTAACGGTTGGTTTTTGGTGCTGCCTATTTATACCCCTCCTCCACCACTTATTCGCTAAGAGAGCCATCAGAACGAAACACAACTTCCGCCATTCATTTTCTGAGAGAGAATCACCTACTCTGGTGTTGAGATTAAGAGATTTCATTCCTACCATTTGAACCTTGATTTCTAACCTCTTCAAGTTGCTTTCCACTCCAATCCTTCTCCTACCCAGGTCAAATATGTGTGAGAGAGATTGAGTGTTGAGGAGACTATCATTTGAAGCACAAGAGCAAGGAGTTCATCACCAACACAACATCTATTATATTTTGGAGAGAGGTGTCTCCTATATTGGTTAGGTGTCACTTGGGAGCCTCCAAGATCATGTGGAGTTGAACTAAAGAGTTTGTGAGGGCAAGGAGATCGCCTACTTCGTGAAGATCTACCCGAGTGAGGCTAGTCCTTCGTGGATGGAAGCCATCGTGGAATAGACAAGGTTATTTGTTCGCGGACCCTTTGTGGGTGGAGCCCTCCATGGACTCACGCAACCATTAGCCTCTGTGGGTTGAAGTCTCCATCAACGTGGACGTAAGATAGTACCGCCTATCGGAACCATGCCAAAACTTATCGTGTCTTCATTGCGTTTGATCTTTCGACTCTACCCTTTACTTTCCCCATAATTGCATGATTTCCTATTTCCGCTACTCTATCTCTAGATATGCATGTGTAGAAAGTCTTGGTGTTATCTTAACGTGTGCCAAAATCTGCCTAAGTTTCAAGAAAACTAAAAGTTGCACCTTTGGTTAATTAGTTAAGTGTCTATTCACCCCCTAGACCTATCTTCTTCGATCCTACAGGGTTGTCAATAGGTGCAAGATAGTGGAGCCCATATTTTATTCCAATGTCGCTTCACCATTAAGATTTGGAACCTCATCAAAGATTGGCTCGACCTCCATGTGATTGATGTGAAAACTTGGGGGCGTTGCACCTCTCTTTCGCATTGGTGGAGCAATATGTCTGAAAGCAACATCCCCAATAGGATGGCCATGGAATCCCTCACCATGCTAGTTAGTTGGAACATTTGGAATGAGAGAAACACTCGTGTGTTCCGTCACGAGTCAACACCAGCACCGATCATCTTTGACATCATCAAAAGGCAAGCTAGTCTATGAGTTACCGTGGGTGAAAAAAAATGGGTAACATAATGCAAGGAAAGTAATGCCCTTTTGTAATCGTGGTGATGTGTAACAAACTCTATTCTATTTCTTAATTAATGGATGAGGCAAAGCTTATGCCTCCGTTCGAAAAAATACATCAACTCGTCGTGTAGTTCTTGTAAGTTCTGTACATGTATCTGTCTAATCCTTTACGTGTAGCAGTTGCATTACTTATAACTGAAAGGAAATATGCCCTAGAGGCAATAATAAAGTTATTATTTATTTCCTCATATCATGATAAATGTTTATTATTCATGCTAGAATTGTATTAACCGGAAACATAATACATGTGTGAATACATAGACAAACATAGTGTCACTAGTATGCCTCTACTTGACTAGCTCGTTGATCAAAGATGGTTGTGTTTCCTAGCCATAGACATGAGTTGTCATTTGATTAACAGGATCACATCATTAGTAGAAT